GGCAAGATAAGATCTTTAATTTGAGATCAGCAAAAGCCAATAAACATAAAAGAAGAGGAAGAAAAGAATTTAGTATTTTTACTTACCGTAATTTCTTATCTAAATGTCAAATATCTTTCATTAGTCTTCTGTGGAAAACGAAACAATTTACAGTTCTCTGATTTGATATTATTACAGTTTCTATATGCACATCTGTCGAATATCGTGATTTTCTTCACATTATTCTTATCCATTTTAATCTATGAAAAGTACCTGCAACAATCGAAAACAAACCGCCAACCGCGAACGAAAAACGCCGAAAAAGCACGCAATTTCCGCGAATCTCGTGATTTTATCGAAACTACAATTTCGTTAAAACTGTAGATTCGTAAAATCGGATCACAACACACACACACACACACACACACACGTCACACTATTCACAATAATTATTTCAATAACAATGATAAAAAATCGTAAGATATTGAAAATCGCAAACAAAAGCACACTGGGAATTCGTTCTGTGAGACACAGTCGATGTGATCACTCAAGATAAGAGAGTAGAAATAGACATTATAATTCCAAAAAATAACAATAATAATTTCAAATGTCTTTAAACCTTTTTATTGCTTAGTTTTGTTAGCAACATAATATAATCTCATTATGCTAACTTTCTCGAGGTCCGCAAAATTAAAAAAAAAAACAAATTTGCAAAATTTGTTGCCACCTTACGTAGAAAATTGCAAATAATTAGCAAACTTGGGGAAATGTTTAATCGATGGTTTTCTGCTGTTTATTAAATTTGCTAACCATCCCAGGATCCGCAACATTGAAAATTGTTAAAAATTAGCATTTTTGTTAATAAATATTTCGCAAAAATATGTAATGTTTTGCAAAAGTGTTAGAATTTTTTTAAAAATATGCGAAAAGATTTATGAAAATTTGCGAACTCGTAAGTTGCACGCAACAAGTATATATATAAATAAACGTTATTTAAATTAAATTGTTTATTCGACTGTATTTCCGCCAAAAGTTGCAAGCGTTATGAATATAAGTAACAAATACTTAAAGCATTTTGTCTCGTATTTTCAAATTTGCTATCTTCTTCGAGTCCGGCAACATTATTAAAACTTAACAATTCCGACATATCTCTCGCAATAAATTTCTTTTTCACGTAAAAAAAAGCAAAAAATTTTAAAAATTATCCGATTTATGTCGTGTTTGATGTCATTTTAATAAAAAAATCTCATTAATCCATTGAAATTATTTTCAAATCGATAAAATGTGAAATACAAAAAGTTTTATTTTCTGTGGTAAGATGATATATGATACGTGAAAGATAAAGATAAAGGGAACCTCGCGAGAGAGACTTCGGAATTCTTTGATGATAGGTCATCTTGCTCATTATTCTTTCTCGCTCTCGAGTTCGACGATATCGAGAGCGAGAACGAATAACGAGTAAGGGAGATGACCTATTATCAAAGAGTTCCGAAGTCTCTCTCTTCCCTTTATCTTTATCTTTCACGTATCATATATCATCTTACCACAGAAAATAAAACTTTTATATTTCACATTTTATCGATTTGAAAATAATTTCAATGGATTAATGAGATTTTTGCGATTAAAATGACATCAAACACGACATAAATCGGATAATTTTTAAAATTTTTTGCTTTTTCTTACGTGAAAAAAAAATTTATTGCGTGGGATATTTCGGAATTGTTAAGTTTTAATAATGTTGCCGAGCTCGAAGTAGTTAGCAAATTTGAAAATACGAGATATAAAATGTTTTAAGTATTTGTCACCTATATTCATAACGCTTGCACTTTTTTGGCGGAAATACAGTCGAATAAACAATTTAAATTATATATATATATATATATATATATATATATATATATACAGGGTGACCCATTTTAACTTAGGCAGCTAAATAACTCGAAAAATAAGCACACTACGAAAAAATGGTTAGAATCAAAATTTCGCCATTTCGAGGGGGATGTACAATGACGTTAAAATCAGTCCCCCCACCCCTCCCCCTGGGCGGTGAGGGGGGGCAAGTTTGAAATCTTAAACGGAACCCCCTATTTTTCATTGCATATTCTTGTAGCTTATCTCGAGAGCTTTCCAAAACACTATAATTAAGTACCTTTTTATTAAGTACTTTTTGAGTTATAAGGCTTGAAATAATTTCTTAATTTTACATAAACCATAAAATATCTAGTAAACCATTCATTTTTCGATTATCTTACCTTCATACTTTTATGTACAAAATAATGAGAGGAATTGGTGTAAAGAAAATATACAGTTGTTTTTAAGAAAAAATATGGAATTGTTAATTGCAAATTACATATTTTTTCTTAGAAACAACTATGTGTTTTCTTTACACCAATTGATTCCTCTCATTATTTTGTACATAAAAGTATGAAGGTAAGATAATCGAAAAATGAATGGTTTACTAGATATTTTATGGTTTATGTAAAATTAAGAAATTATTTCAAGCCTTATAACTCAAAAAGTACTTAATAAAAAGGTACTTAATTATAGTGTTTTGGAAAGCTCTCGAGATAAGCTACAAGAATATGCAATGAAAAATAGGGGGTTCCGTTTAAGATTTCAAACTTGTCCCCCCTCACCGCCCAGGGGGAGAGGTGGGGGGGCTGATTTTAACGTCATTGTACATCCCCCTCGAAATGACGAAATTTTGATTCTAACCATTTTTTCGTAGTGTGCTTATTTTTCGAGTTATTTGGCTGCCTAAGTTAAAATGGGTCACCCTGTATATATACGTGTTGCGTGCAACTTACGAGTTCGCAAATTTTCACAAATTTTTTCGCATATTTTTAAAAAAATTTTAACACTTTTGCAAAACATTACATATTTTTGCGGAATATTTATTAACAAAAATGCTAATTTTTAACAATTTTCGATGTTGTGGACACATGGTTAGCAAATTTAATAAACAGCAAAAAACCATCGATTAAACATTTCCCCAAGTTTGCTAATTATTTGCAATTTTCTACGTAAGGTGGCAACAAATTTTGCAAATTTGTTTTTTTTTTTAATTTTGCGGACCTCGAGGAAGTTAGCATAATGAGATTATATTATGTTGCTAACAAAACTAAGCAATAAAAAGGTTTAAAGACATTTGAAATTATTATTGTTATTTTTTGGAATTATAATGTCTATTTCTACTCGCTTATCTTGAGTGATCACATCGACTGTGTCTCACAGAACGAATTCCCAGTGTGCTTTTGTTTGCGATTTTCAATATCTTACGATTTTTTATCATTGTTATTGAAATAATTATTGTGAATAGTGTGACGTGTGTGTGTGTGTGTGTGTGTGTTGTGATCCGATTTTACGAATCTACAGTTTTAACGAAATTGTAGTTTCGATAAAATCATGAGATTATATTATGTTGCTAACAAAACTAAGCAATAAAAAGTTTATGGTCATTTGAAATTATTGTTACTTTTTTTACTATTTCTACTGGCTTAAGAATGCCAGAAGTTTGTGAACTCGTCGAGATGAGGCAAAACAATTGCGTGTCAGTTTCATTGTGCGTTAATCTATTGAAACGCAGCGCTTTAATTCTTCCGACGTTTTAATTCTTTTCGCTTCTTTAAAGATCTTATCTCTTCCCGTTTCAAAGATCTTTTCCAGGAGCAGAGTTTGAAAATGAATTATTTTTATACTTTATAATTTGTAATCCTCGATAATTTCAAGAATTTTCTGTTTGAAAATTAATAATTTTCTATTGCCTATTTATTTATTTTTTCGCTTATTTTCTCACAGACTTTATTCCATTGCACTTTTGCTTACAGTTTTCAGTAAACAATTTTTTATCTTAGTTATTGAAAATTATTATTGGGAATTATATACTTGTGCAATGATCTGAATAATCTATAATTTAATCGAAATTGTAGATTATTTTAAAAAATCACGAAATTCGCGGAAATTGCGTATTTTCTCAATATTTTCCGTTCGTGACAGGTAGTTTGTTTTTGATTGTTGCAAGCGTTTTTCTTGCATTAAAATAGATTATGACAATGCGTGAAGAAAATCACAAAATATTCGACAGATGTGCATATAAAAATTGTAATAATATCATATCATAAAATTGTAAATTGTTTCGTTTTCCACAAAAGATTGATAAAAGATTTGATATTTGTATAAGAAACTGCGGTAAATAAAAATACAAAATTTTTGAAAATATGTACCAAAAATATTTGATGATAATGAAAAGGTAAACTTTATGAAAAATAAAGAAGTTAAATAACTAAAAATTGCACTAAGAAATAAATGGGCTATGTGAGTCATACGGACGTAAGGCGCGTTATGTCAAAATTTAATTAAAGAATTGAGAATTTCAACTTTAAAAGTCTTGGAAATATCCAAACAAATTTGTTATGCTTCATGCACATTTAAAAGTTATATCGAAAAATTAAATTTCGATATAATCTCATCTTATATAATTACTGAATAATTGAAAAATTGTTAAGTTTGATTACTGAAATTTTCACTTTAATTACTGATTATCCAAATAATCAAATAATTATTTACTTTGATTACTGATTATCCAAGTATAAATAATTTTTTAAATTGATTACTAATTATTCGAGCAATCAAGTAATATTAATTTTATAACAATTTTTTGTCCATCTTTGGTGAATGGATGCGAACGGGAGCCAAATCTCTCACCTCTCATTCATCTCATAATCGATTAGCCTGGATTCGCACCAGGGGCAAAGTCTGTTGATAAAATAAAAGGAATTTAGCCTAGACTCGCACCAGGGGCAAAATCTTTTGGTAAAGTCAATGAAATTTAGCACGGACTCGAACCAGGGGCAAAGTGTGTCGGTAAGGGGCAAAGTCTGTGGCACAGAAATGGCGGTCTAGTTTTTACCCAGGTCATTGGCTATCTGTCTATTAATCTGTGGCCGAGGACGGACTGGCGCGGCGGGGTGCCGCACGGATTCCATAGATGCCGCCCGATCGCACTTTCGTAAATACCGACCGCATTTTCGTAAATACCGCCCGGTCAGACGTCGTAGGTATCGACGGACCACGCGTCGTAGCTATCTCCGAAAACGTATTTGACCGACATATCTTGTTGATAGTCGGTGATTGGTCATGCTCGTTAGCCATGCGTTTATTGAACTCGCGGTCATCGAGACATAACCTGGTGTCATTCGATTTTATATCGAATTTGACAAAAGGATTCCCGTGTTGCGTGGATGTGCGCTTGATTTTCCCCATCCCTTCTAAATCGGCTAAGTTCGGTTTTAGCTTTTTCCGTTGTATCTCCGGTGCGGGATGTTGTTGCATTTGAACCATGGAGATAAAGGAAAGAGTATAGAGCCGCGAAATTGAAGCCGAAGTGGGGAAGAGGGGTAAGCCTTCAGCCATCTTGTTCCGCGAAATTAGTGCTGCTATCTAATGCAGAGCAGAGCTATTTGCTACTTAATATAGTGTGAAGGAGTGCTAAGTAAAATTAACTAAGAAGAAGAAGAATACGATATACAAGTAAATTAAGTGCATAAGAAAATGCCATCGTGTATTTTGAAAACTTGTTATAACAGAACCTTCCGAAAATCACATAAACAAGAAGAACTCGAAAAAAAGCAGAAGATAACTTTTCACACGTAAGTACAACAATAATAATGTAAGATCTTTGCATAATGGAATTTACGAAAAATCTTACCAAATGAAACATAGACTTGTTATAATAAACAATTGTTTAAAGATGTAATATATATTGGAAAACAATAAAATTCTTAATATATTTAATAGGTTTCCAAAAAATACGTACAGACGAAAGCATTGGTGTGAAATATTACAGTTGCCTGAGAATTCTATAAAATCAAATTCAGTAATATGCTCAATGCATTTTCATGAAGAAAGTTTCGATAAATCGTCACGACGCTATATTAGATTAAAAGCTGATACCAACCCATATGTAAGATATATTGAAATTGTATCATTATCTGTGTGTTTGTCTTGTCACTATCTGTCACTGCTCAGTTGATTTTTGTTGAGGTATTTCATTTTATTTCATTTTATGATTTAAAATGAAAAGAAATATCGGCTATGATTTATCAACTTTGATACATAATATAAAAAATATACTATTTGAAAAAACATTATACCTATATTTTTAGTTACCTTCACAAGCATTATCAATGCAGAGGAAATCTCCAATAAAATGTATAGAGCAAATATATACAAAAAAATGTACAGTTACTTCAGAAAAGTTATTGTCTAACAATGAAGATCACATAAGAGGAATTCTAAACTTGCAAGCAGACAATATATCTACTGAACAAATGGATGCAGCACAAAATATTGATGTTTTTAATGTACATTGATATTACATGTTTGAAACATTTAATTTTTTCTGTTTACTTAACAACAAAGTAGAAAAATGAAAAACAGAATTCTTATTACGCATGCATTATTAATTTTTATTTGATGTTTACAGATGGAAATGCTCATATGTGAAGAAACAGTTAATAAAAAAAGAAGAAGCAATAATGTCATTGGTAAGATGTTATAACTTAAAAGTAATATATTGTATAATAATTATATTTCTTGAAATATTGATATTTTGTAAGAGAGAAAATCTTATTGTTGTTATATGACTAAAAAGAATATGTATTGTCAATTTTCATAACTCCTGATACGCATCTTAAACAAGAAATTGCACAATCATCTCCAAAAATATCAAGAGTGTCAATACTTCAGTGTCTCCATGGAAAATTTATAATTCACCCAACAAAAAACAGTTAAGAGAAGAATTAAGAAGAACGAAAGAACAGTACAATCTGCGGATAAAAACTCTAACACAAAAAACAAGACGCATGAAAAAAAAGATAGTGTCACTGGAAAATATATTAGAAGCTATAAAACAAAAAAATTTCTTAGAAGAAGAGCAACTGTACAATTTGAAAGGTATTAGCATTGGGAATGCACATTTATTAAAACGTGTAGTGTATAAGTCAAAAGGAAAATCACTAAGTCAAAAGTATTCGCCTGAATTGCATACATTTGCTCTGACATTACACTATTATTCACCTCGAGCATATTCCTTTGTTAGAGAAACTTTCAACTCGTGTCTGCCACATCCAAAAACATTGTATAAATGGCATTGTTCTGTTAATGGGGAACCAGGCTTTAATAAAGAAGCTTTAGCATTTATCAAAGAACGAGTGAGCAAAACAGATCGCTCGTTATTTAGTGCTTTAATAATGGATGAAATGGCAATACGATAACAAATAGAGTTTGATGGTCAAAAATTTTGTGGAAAATGTGATATGGGAGATAATATTGCTAGTGAGGAGCACAGTATTGCAAAGGAGGCATTAGTATTTTTAGTTGTAGGTGTAAACGAAATGTGGAAGATACCAGTAGGATATTTTTTAATTAACAGTATAACTGGAGAACAAAAGGCAAATTTAGTTATGCAATGTTTATCACTTTTACATAATGCCGGAATATGCATAAAATCATTAACATGTGACGGCGCTGCAAATAATTTGAGCATGATACGTCTTTTAAAGTGCAATATTACTAATCCTAAGTGCATGCAAGGATATTTTGAGCATCCAAGTTCAAGCTATAAAGTCCACATATTCTTAGATGCATGTCATATGTTAAAATTATTGAGGAATACTTTGGGTGATTATAAATGTATTGTTAACAGCAAAAGGGCAGATGATTAAATGGGATCACATTGTTGCATTGCACGAACTTCAACAAAATGAAGGTTTACATCTCGGCAATAAATTACGGCAACAACATATACCAGTACCATAAGAAGAAAATGAATGTACGTTTTGCTACTCAGGTATGCAGTGCATCTGTTGCAAACGCTCTTAGAACTGTGTTACAATTAGATAAGTTTACTGATACAGAAGCAACAGAAGAATATCTTAACATGATAAACGACTTATTTGATATATTTAATTCTAGAAACTTGAGACAAATTTTATAACTAGAAATTTTATAACTAGAAAATTTTATAACTAGAAGATTGTAAGCAATATTTATTAACTTTAAGATTGGAAGATGGACAGTTGTTAGTAAATTCCAATAGAAAAACGGGTTTTTTAGGATTTTTGATTAATATAGAAAATTTGAAAGTGTTGTATCCGAATGTTTGCCAAAATAAATCGCTTCTTCCGTATATATCATTATATCAACTGAGTCAAGATCATCTTGAGTTATTTTTTGGATGCATTAGAGCATTTGGAAGGCAAAATAATAATCCAAATGCTAGATTATTTAAGACGGCGTTTAAAAGAATACTTGTAAGGGCGCAAATTAAAAGTGCCACAACAGGAAATTGCATTGAACTTGCACATGTACCAATCTTAACAGCATCAAAACCAGAGGAAATAATAAACATAACGTCATCTATTAGTCGTATAATTGATTATGAGTGCGAGTATAAAAAAATAAATACAAATAATACAGTACTTGAGATTGATCATCCATATATGTTATCTGTTAACAATCTTTCCTTATCCGAATATTCCCGAGAAATTATAATTTATATAGCAGGTTTTATTGTAAAATATTTAACAAAACATATTATTTGTGAAATATGCGTTCAATCTTTAATAGATAATAGCAAAACGGGCACTTTAATCCGTTTAAAAGATAGAGGTTCATTTATTTTATCCCTCACAAAGCGTTGTAAATATTTGTAAAGAAACAGAAAAAGTTATCCGTTTTTATACTAAAGAACAGCGTACTATTATCTCTGATACATATAATGCCAATTATATTGCATATTGCGTGCTACGTAATTTAAATATAAATAATATATTTACAGACTTGATTGCTCATTTAAATGATCAAAATGCTTTAACTTGTCATAGAGTGCAATTAGTAAAAAGTATAACATTAAAATATGTTAAAACTCGTTATTTTTATATTGGAAAAACTACAGATATTACTATAAGTAAAAGACATTATTATAATAAATTAATTTTATTTGCAGGAAAATAAATATATTATAAATAATATATATACATTTCATACTTCTGTGTTTCTAATATATAAAAACTGATATGTAATACGTCAAAGTAATAATAGATGGCAGCACTAATGTCGCCTATCAAGATGGCTGAAGGCTTACCCTTCTTCCTCACTAAAGCTTCAGTCCCCTTACCCATAGTAAAGCCTAATACTCTCTCCTTTACCTCTATGGTCCTGTTTGGAACCTTAAATCATATCAAACATTTATGCAAGTTAACGATGACGTCATTATCTGAGTATAACATACTCACATAATTTAGACTCAGTATCACTTGTGTGAAAATGGAAAGCAACTATAGTAATGAATTCATATATATATATATATATATATATATATATATATCTTTTATATATATTATATATATATATATATATATATATGTAATTGAGTTATAATTGTATTTAAATAAAATATACATGAATATTGTTAAATATTTTTTACTTTATTTTAATTTAATTTATTTTTTAATTGTTTATAAATCATTAATTTATTAATCATTAATTTATTAATCATTAATTTATTGTTAGTAGCACCTGGATTACGTTATTGATATCGCAATATGAAATATGATATTTAAAACAGATAGGAAGAATATAAAAAATAAAGAGAACATAATGTGGAGATGAAAAATATATATTTTAGAGAAATTTGACACATATTATATTTTAATAATCTCTGAAAAATATACTAAATCTAGGAAAAATATTAAAAACATATATTTATAATTAAACATAATATTCTTCACTTCTAAGATATGATTCTTTCTTTGTATTTATATTTTGTACTTACATTTGTACTGTGTACTTTGTACTTTCTTTATTTAATATATATACTTATACTATTACTTATATACTTATATATATATATACAGGGTGTTCAAAAAGTCCCGGTACGGGGGAATAACTCGAAAAGTAAGGGTTCGGACAAAGAAACTTTTCCGACAAAAAGTTGTAGGGCTTACTCCGAGCTTTTATCTCGTGACCTTGAGTTTGACCTTGAGCTTGACCTTCAAGGTTATTTGAAGGTCAAAGGTGTTTTTTTTAAATGGGAACCCCTACTTTTGATTGTATATTCTTATAGCTGACCTCGAGAGCTTTCCAAAACACTATAATAAAATATTTTTCCCTCAAGCATTTATCGAGTTATGAGGCTTCAAATCATTTCTTAATTTTACATAAACCGTAAAATATCTTGTAAAATATTCACTTTTCGATTATTTTACCTTAATACTTTTATGTACAAAATAATGAGAGGAATCAATTGGTCTAAAAAAAAACACATAATTGTTCCGAAGAAAAAATATGTAATTTGCAATTAACAATTACATATTTTTTCTTAAAAACAACTGTATGTTTTCTTTACACCAATTGATTCCTCTCATTATTTTGTACATAAAAGTATTAAGGTAAAATAATCGAAAAGTGAATATTTACAAGATATTTTACGGTTTATGTAAAATTAAGAAATGATTTGAAGCCTCATAACTCGATAAATGCTTGAGGAAAAAATATTTTATTATAGTGTTTTGGAAAGCTCTCGAGGTCAGCTATAAGAATATACAATCAAAAATTAGGGGTTCCCATTAAAAAAAAACACTTTGACCTTCAAATAATCTTGAAGGTCAAGCTCAAGGTCAAACTCAAGGTCACGAGATAAAAGCTTGGAGTAAGCCTACAACTTTTGTCGGAAAAGTTTCTTTGTCCGACCCTTACTTTTCGAGTTATTCCCCCCGTACCGGGACTTTTTGAAACCCCTGTATACAGGGTCTACCAAAAGTGTGGAAACCCCTAAATATCTCGGAAAATATACGTTTTACAGAAAAGTGTTTCCAACAAAAGTTGTAGGGTTTAAGAAGATCTATATACTGATTCTATCAGTTTGACCTTGGATGGCGTCGTCAAGGTCAGGTCAAGGTCACATTGACTTTTTTAAATGACACCCCCTACATTTGATTGCATTATTCTTATAGCTTAATTCAAGAGCTTTCCAAAACACTATAATAATGTTCATTTTTATTAAGTACTTTGCGAGTTATGAGGGTTGAATGATAGAGTAGCGCCGGTATTAACATTATCCAAGGTGTACTACATGGAGGTTACTCGCTCGGATTTGCATCTGTTGTGTGTGTGGATCCAGCTAACTAAGGCAAGATCGGTCGTGGATCCAGTCAGCAAAAGCAAAGACCCAACCAAATTACAATCGAGCATTTAAAGACCTGGAAAGCAATCGACATAGTAAACAGTAAATAAATTTGTGGATGCTCATTTATCATAATAATTGTTTCGAAATGTGTGCGTGTGCGTGCGTGCGGTGCGTGTATACAGAGATCAGGTTAGGTTGCACCAAACGATTGCAAATGTGTTTCAATGTGTTAAAGTAAATGCTGAAAGTGGCTGCCATTTACTTCCTGACAATATGCTAATCTTTGGTAGAATGTAGAAATGACTTTACGATTCGTTTCAAAAGGTATCAAAGCCATTTCATCCCTTATTCGCTGTATCAATTCGTGAATGGTTTTAGGTTTTGTTCTGTAAACCTTACTCTTCAGATATCCCCATAGATAATAATCAAGAGGAGTTAGATCTGGTGACCGAGANAAAGTCCATATTATCTCTCATGGTAGATATCTTCTACAAATCCATCATGAATGTCTGCTGGATATCTGATGGATATATGATAGATTTTTACATACATATATCTCTAATAGAAATCCATATTACTCCATGGTAGATGTCATATTATACAAATCCATCATGGATGTCTATTGGACATCTGTTATGGATATATGACAGGTTTTTACATACAACTATATCTCTAATAGAACTCCATATTACTTCCATGGTAGATAAAAATATTCATATAGTTCCACGAGCTTTACGTTTTCGCCGCTAGGTGGCGAAAAGGAAAATGCCTAACTCGTAAGTAGAATTCATTTAAACGGTAATATAAGCCGCAGCATACGACTACAAATCACGGCTTATCGGTCAAAGAGAGCAGACTATTATAGTCGCATCTCCTCTAGCTTTTGCAAGGAGCTCCAGGGTTCCATATAATTAATCGCAGATGGTTAATTTTTTTTTTAATTCTATCATATATGTATCTATATACAGAACATTAAATCGATCAAGTTTTTGAGAAATGACAAAAATAAAAATTTAGTGGTTAATGGACATGATATTAAATTGACTAAAAAATTCACTTATAATCGCCATAACGTATATCTGACATCCATAATAACTTCACAAAATATCTATAAAACTTGATATAATGTACATATGACATCTATGAATACGTCTAATGGGATGTCGAATGGAGATATGAAATGCGGAACTGTGGATATCTAGTAGACGTTTATGGACGTTTCATGAACATCTAATGAGGAAGTTTCGAATCTTAGACGTCTACTGGACATCCATAGAGGTTTTTGTTTTGTGTGGGAAAACGTCAATTAATCGTCCACCTCTATGAATCTTTCTATTAATGATGAAACATCGATTAATCGTCATCAAGGCCTCACGAATCCTCTATTAATGTTCCACAGACTGTCTAATGGATATCTTTAAAAATGTCTAATGGAGGTCCAATGGATATACGTAATGCGGAACTATGGATATTTTTGTGGTCGTCCATTGGGATGTCTAATTGACA